GACTACTTTCAGTCAGCCATTTTGTATGTATCGTCCCTAACAGCATTTTAAAATATATGTGTACAATAAAAAGTGAGGAAATCAGAGATTTGCAGTCTACCCTCTAGATTTTAGTTATAAACATATGAAACGAAGGGGCAATATGAAATGGTATGAGAAGAGAGAAACACGTACACAGTTATGTTTATATATGCATAAAAAGAGGCAGTAGTTAATTATAATAGATGGTTCAGGAGAATGAAGGATTATGATAACAGAACCGTAAAATAAAAATCCGCTAATATTTAAAACTCACAGTGAAGTTAAGCTGATTTTTTAGACGATCCCGCATAGGGCTGGAATTTGTGCAGACGTAGATGGTATTTACAACATTAGCTAGTCACCAGAGGAGATTTTAGTACCAGCCATATCCAGGTTGTATACAACTCAACCTTGAGGTAGAACTTCTACCACACTGAACTGCCCAAGATACAGTTTTGCCAGGGATATTCACCATAATATTTGATTAATTTGACAGTCAGCAGCTGGCATTAAATGGAGTTGAATGACCGAAAAGGTATGACATGAGGTGTGAGGGCAGTTCATGTAGATTCAGTGCAGCTTTCGTGGTATGTCAGGGTGTGTATTCCACCCCAGGTTTGTATGAAAGGATTGTGTATATTTTGTGATGATGCTTGCTAGACAAATAATTGAATCAACTAAAAAAAGGAACTGAGAACAGCACTAGTGCAACGTTGATTATTTTAAATATGTCCGATAATGCTGACCGTTTCTGTTAATGCTTTGGGTGAACAGAACTGTTTAGGTACGTAAGTCAAAGGGAGAAGAAACAATATCACAAATTTTCAGTATGTGACAAACTGTTTCAAGACTGTTTTCAGAGAAATATTTATTTACTAGGTAGGTGAATCGTTGTATTGTGGTGCTATTTTTGATTTCACTTGGCAAGAAGTTCCATGTTTGCCTATATTTGACTGTAAAGAAGTTGGAACCAGATTTCGTTCGACAAAGAATATGACTTAGAGAAGACCAGTTGCTGCGTAGTTCATACGTCGAAGAAGTAAAGTTAAGGTTATTATTGGGGAAGCATACTATTGCTTTGAGGATTTTAAATAGGAGAATAATAATAATATATATTTCACACAAATTAAGCATTTACATGATTAACATACCGTTTGTACAGGCATGATCATATTCGACAAGTGCAATTTAAAATGGAACACTTTCTTGACATTAAAAATTGGAAAGATGAAAAAAATCTCTAGAAACTTTGTTAGAATAGATTACAATATATTGGTTCAAGTCTAATTTATAGTCTACAATATACTTATAGTCAGTCACATCCATGCGGGAATTACGAAATGTTGCGTTAATGGAAGGTAAGAAGAGAGGTGATAAACATGTGCTAGAGTAAGACATACAGGATACAGGCTTTGTGATCATTATCATTTTGTCAATTAATAAATGTTCAAAAATTTATAAAACTCCACAGTAGCGGGTAAGTACAACGTTATTTTGGTATTAACAGATACAAGGGACCAACTTTGCGATGATAAACAGAATTCAGAATGGAATTTGTTCCGCGGTTCGTCGTGTGTGCCAACAGTATTCTGAATAACGCTCAAGTAATACAAACGTAGAAAGCAGCATCACTGTTCATTTGCAGTGCTTCGATGCAATACCTTCGAGAAGAGAAGGAAGAAGAAAACAGAAAGAGGGGTGCAGAGGCAGTCAGCAAATAATAATAATTTAAGCAAACAATATGCGGTAAACGCAGGGTTTATTCCCCTATTTTGTTACTAATAATTTAAAGTCATTGAGTTTTATAGTGTAACATACTAACAGCTAGTTCAAGTTTGTGGTAGTAAACAATAACAAAAAAATAGGATAACAAATTTTTTAAAGAAAAAACAAGGGCAAAACGAATAATGATTTTTAAACCTATATAGGATAATGGGAATAGAAAGTGGAGAAGTTAAATCCAAACGCCAAATTACATAAAATATATAGAAGTGAAGAAAAACAAAAAGAATGATGATACTTATTTATGCTGTTGTTCTGATTTATACAGTTAGATGTCCTCCCGAAGTAGAGAAATCGTACCATGAGCTTGTTTTCGAAGAGTTTATACACAAGCTTTGTTATACAGGCAGCTATTATTTTATTATTATTTTTTTTGAAGTCATTCACAATCAGGAACCTTAGCAATAGAGCGCATTCCCACAGATAAGGGTGGTTCTCTGAAGTCCCCACCATCATATCCGCTCCGCTGAATAGCGGTCACCACCCTCCCACCTTTTAATCTGCTAGGCCCTGGCGAAATAGTCCTTTTGTTTTTAGAAAAGGAATCTTTTTTATTGCTAAGTGTCACATAGACAGTTTTCGCCTTCACTAGCTAACTCAACGAAACTCATGGTATGAACGACTACTTTCAGTCAGCCATTTTGTATGTATCGTCCCTAACAGCATTTTAAAATATATGTGTACAATAAAAAGTGAGGAAATCAGAGATTTGCAGTCTACCCTCTAGATTTTAGTTATAAACATATGAAACGAAGGGGCAATATGAAATGGTATGAGAAGAGAGAAACACGTACACAGTTATGTTTATATATGCATAAAAAGAGGCAGTAGTTAATTATAATAGATGGTTCAGGAGAATGAAGGATTATGATAACAGAACCGTAAAATAAAAATCCGCTAATATTTAAAACTCACAGTGAAGTTAAGCTGATTTTTTAGACGATCCCGCATAGGGCTGGAATTTGTGCAGACGTAGATGGTATTTACAACATTAGCTAGTCACCAGAGGAGATTTTAGTACCAGCCATATCCAGGTTGTATACAACTCAACCTTGAGGTAGAACTTCTACCACACTGAACTGCCCAAGATACAGTTTTGCCAGGGATATTCACCATAATATTTGATTAATTTGACAGTCAGCAGCTGGCATTAAATGGAGTTGAATGACCGAAAAGGTATGACATGAGGTGTGAGGGCAGTTCATGTAGATTCAGTGCAGCTTTCGTGGTATGTCAGGGTGTGTATTCCACCCCAGGTTTGTATGAAAGGATTGTGTATATTTTGTGATGATGCTTGCTAGACAAATAATTGAATCAACTAAAAAAAGGAACTGAGAACAGCACTAGTGCAACGTTGATTATTTTAAATATGTCCGATAATGCTGACCGTTTCTGTTAATGCTTTGGGTGAACAGAACTGTTTAGGTACGTAAGTCAAAGGGAGAAGAAACAATATCACAAATTTTCAGTATGTGACAAACTGTTTCAAGACTGTTTTCAGAGAAATATTTATTTACTAGGTAGGTGAATCGTTGTATTGTGGTGCTATTTTTGATTTCACTTGGCAAGAAGTTCCATGTTTGCCTATATTTGACTGTAAAGAAGTTGGAACCAGATTTCGTTCGACAAAGAATATGACTTAGAGAAGACCAGTTGCTGCGTAGTTCATACGTCGAAGAAGTAAAGTTAAGGTTATTATTGGGGAAGCATACTATTGCTTTGAGGATTTTA